GATCACAGTCTTTCTTGGTTAGATCCTCATTTCTATTACAAGTGTTGCCCTAAAAAATATTTTTAGCCAAAACCAGTTTGGATCAGTGGATAGAGCGTCGGCCTGCAGACTAAAGGGTCTCAGGTTCGATTCTGGTCAAGGGCATGTACCTTGGTTGCAGGCACATCTCCAGTAGGGGGTGTGCAAGAGGCAGCTGATGGATGTTTTAACTCTCTATCCCTCTCCCTTCCTTCTGGAAAATAAATAAATAAATAAAAAATAAATAAATCAATAAAATATATTTTTTTAAAAAGAAATTTCAATCATTGTATTGTTGATATTTGGCTCTGTTGATTAATGAGTTTGCCGACCACTGTCCTAATGGATTCAAATCCTTCCAGCTTTTCTGGACATTGCTTGCCTTACAATGAAAGGGCTAACCCTAACACCAATCCTAACCCTTACCCAGCAATCTAATTCATTTCCAAGTCTTTAACAATTTTTCCTGACACTGGGTCCCCCTTTAGCATTTTTCATAATACAACCAAAAATAAGAAATAAAAATTTAGTGTATTGCAGCACATACAGAGAGGAAGGGAGAAAGTTAGAAACATCGATGAGAGAGAAGAGAAACATTGATCAGCTGCCTCTCTGTGCACCTATGGATGAGGACAATGGGGGTGGGAAAAGGGCAGAGGGTGGGGTGGGAACCTGGTGGAGGAGAGCAATGGTGGGGGGGGAGAGAAGGAACATTTGTAATAATATGAACAATAAAAATTTATTTAAAAAAAGAAATATGCCAAAGAATAAAATACTATACATAATTTTAATTTATTATATTTGTAAATTGTACTTATGTTGAAATTTAAAAATATATATTACAATACTATTTTTGCGTTCTATGAAAATTTTTGTTGCTCCATAGAGACCAAATTTTTAATCAAGAACACCTCCCCTCCACCCCCCCACCCCCGTCAATGGTGTCCCGCTTTACCAATGTTAAAATCTGGTCATCTTATCCTAGTACAAAATAATACTGAATGTACAATGTAATTGAAAAATAAAATTTAAAAACACGTTTTGTGAAGATTTTGTTTCAGGTACATTCACTTATATACACACACTTGGTATTATTTGGTTTATGTAGTGCTTTTGTTCACTGTGGGCTAGGGTCAAAAAGTCTGAAAGCCACTCAAGGGTCATATGAGGTTCAACAAGGAAAATAACTGCACGTTTTGAGTTCTATCTTCCCTCATAGTTGACATCCATTCCCATTGCCGGGATCAGTCCGGCCAATTCAGAAAATGGTCTGAGGGAACGGTAAACACTAGAGAGAAGCTACCAATAGCACATCATTTGTTGTGCACCTGAGAAGAGTGTGTTATATGTCCATTATACGTCAACAAAAAATAAAGTTAAAAACTATTAGAAGCCACTTGCCGTATGTTCCTGTCTGGTTTTCCTTGGCACTGAGGTTCGCTGGCTGCCTCGGATGCCACGAGAATGGAGAGAGAGGCCGACCAGCCCCTCAGGCAGGAATTCCCGCGCGGAGCGGGAAGGCGCGCTCACGCGAGGAATCGGGCACCGGCTCTGAGCCGCCGCAACGCGACCCCGGGAGGCGGCGCTGCCCGCGAGCGTCGGAGCACTGCGCAGACGCAGACCCGGTGACGCCTCGTCACCAGCCCCGCCCGCCTCGTCACCCGCTCCCGTTTCCCCGCCCCCTGCCCCGGCTGCGCGCGCAGCGCTGGAGCCGGCTCCGGCGGGAAGGGGAAGCGGCGGGTAAGAAAGGCTTAGCGTCCCGGGTTGCTTCTATGACGGGGTTGGGACTTTCCTCTGGGGCTCTCTCGGGCTCTCGGGACCCCGGAGAAGGAGGACAGAAAGAGGAGCCCCTGAAATCGGCTTTCTCCTGCCGCTTAGGGGCGTGCCTCTGCTAGTCGAAGTGTTTTCGCCCTCACCGGAGCTTCTCTGGTCCGGCCCGCTCCCCGCCTCCACGGGGGAGCCCGAAGGCCCAGCCTCCGGCCAGGCTGCCACCCCCCGGACGGGTCTAGGATGCCTTCCCCGCCCTTTAGGTAGCGCCGGAGTGTTTATCCGCCTGCAGTGGCGCAGCAGCTGCTGGGTGACTCCCCAGGCAGCCCGCTGCACATCCAACACAGAGGGCCTCGTGGTTTTGTTTGTTTTGACACTCGCTTGCCCTGGGTTTCTTTCTGACACCTTTTACGGAAGCAGCCTTCGTGCTTTACTCCCTCTGGGCTGCTCCCCCGTTTCACGTTTGAGGCTCTGGATGCTCATCTCTTACATCCCTGTGCAATGTCCCAGAATTATGATCTTTCCCTGCAGAAATACAGTCACACACCCCGTGTTCCTTTTGGAATGAAATACACTAATGGTAGTGGAATAGTATCAGCAGTTTCTAAAAGCGTAGTTAATAGATGAGAATATCTTTCGTCAGCTACCAGAGTGGACGGATGTTCAGTGAACTCTTAGTAGCAGGAGGCAACTTTTTAGCCCTCCTGTACTTGATGCCTTGAAGGTACCTTGTATTTAAACCACCAAGGGGAAAAGCTGCTGACAGGAAGAAATATAAAACAGAATAAAGCTTGATAGCCAGGTCATGTTTAATAATATCTGCAGGTCAAATTTCTATGTAGAGACAAATGCACTGTTTACTTGTATATGCCAGTTAAATGTTGGCATTCTGTAGATTGTGTTGTGAATAGCAACCATCTAGCAACTTCTCAAATTTGTCAAGTTAATTTCTAGATAATTATGGTAATCAGCTTCATTATTTTTACTTTGATGAGTTTTAATGCAATGAACTTAACCACTTTTTTTCTAATATCAGCCCACACCATTCCTGTCAGCCTAAATTACAAAACCCTAGCCATCTTAGATTTCCCGTGTTTCATCTTACACTAGAGGCCCAGTGCATAAAATTCGTGCAAAAGGGGAGGTGTCCCTCAGCCCAGCCAGCACCCTCTCCAATCTGGGACCCCTTAAGGGATATTTGACTGCCCTCTCACAATCCAAGACTGCTGGCTCCCAACTGCTCACTTGCCTGCCTTCCTGATTGCCTCTTAACTGCTTCTGCCTGCCAGCCTGATCACACCCTAACCACTCTCCTGCCAGCCTGATTGATGCCTAACTGCTCCCCTGCCAGCCTGATTGCCTCTAACTGCCCTCCCCTGCAGACTTGGTCCCCCTCCCAACTGTTCTCCCCTACAGGCCTGGGTCCTCCCAACTGCCCTTCCCTGCAGGCCCTGTCGCCCCCAACTTCCCTCCTCTGCTGGTCTGGTCACCCCTAACTGCCCTCCCCTTCAGGCTTGATTGCCCCCAACTGCCCTCCCTTGCAGGCCTGGTTCTTCCCAACTGTCCTCCCCTGCTGGCTATCTCGTGGCAGCCACCTTGTGTCCACATGGGGGCAGCCATCTTTGACCACATGGGGCAGCCATCTTGTGTGTTGGTGTGATGGTCAATTTGCATATTATCCTTTTATTAGATAGGATGGTTTCTTGGTTAAAAAATAAATTGGATTTATAGCTCTGATTCTCATTGTTGAAGCTGAACTGGCTATGTTTTAGGACTTTGCTACCTCTTAGCTTTTCCCCTTGAAGGATAACAGTTCTGAAACATTATGTTTACTCTCGATGAATCTACAGAAAGCTCAGGTCCTAATTTCTGTGCTTGGATTTCTCTATAACCTGGCATGTGGGAAGAGCCCAGGATTTAGAGTAAGACCTGTATTCAAATACTGAAACAGTCATTACATTATCAGTGTTCTTAGGAAACTTTAAGCTTGTTTCCTTTAATGTCATTTTGAATAACAGTATCTTTTCCTCCCAGCTTCTTAATTGTTGTGAGAATTATAGTTGACATACTGTGTTGAAAAGCTATCAGAGTTGTACAAAAACAACGTAAGCCATTGTTATTTCTCATTGTACTGACTTATTTTACCAACATTTGAAAACCTAATATATTTTAGATTCTTGTGCTATTGCTTTGAAAGATAGTCCCTATGAGGGGCTTCCTTTCAAGGAACTTTCAGAGAGAGAGTAGGGAGTAAGGTGATAGAATGTCTGACAAGATAAGAGTGTAAAATAAGTAAGCTTAGGGCGAGCTCCATACTCAGAGGAGAGAAGAACAGGGAAGAGTTCCTAAAGGAAATGATATTTGAACAGTCTTGAATTATAACAAAGATTCAGAAGGAAGAAGTGTGGAAGGGTACTATGAGAGTCACTTTTATTTTTAAAATATATATTTATTGATTTTTTACAGAGAGGAAGAGAGAGGGATAGAGAGTTAGAAACATCAATGAGAGAGAGCCATCGATCAGCTGCCTCTTGCACACCCCCTCCTGGGGGTGTACCTGCAACCAAGGTACATGCTCTTGACCGGAATCGAACCCAGGACATTTCAGTCCGTAAACTGACACTATCCACTGAGTCAAACCGGTTTCGACGAGAGTCACTTTTAAAGAACTGCAAATAGTTAGCTTTTGTTGGAGTATTAAGTTCAAAGAGGAGTATAGGAGACAGAGGTGAGATTTGAAGGACTAAGGGAAGTGTACAAATTGAAGAATTCTAAGCAAACAGTTAGCCTAGTCACAATTGTTTTTGATAGTTCATTCTGGCTACAATGTGTGCTTCCTTACTGCAGTGTACAAAAGCTGCTTTCTGCCCTTGTGCTTTTCCTTATTTTCTTTACTCCACTCCGAAAGGCTAATGCCCTCTCCTCATACTGTCTTTCAATATCCAGTTCAGGTTCCATTTTTCCTTCATTTATTTTATATCCTGTTACTTATTCCTTTCTCTGAAACTTTTGGAATGGTACCACACAGTTTAATCCTTATTTGTTTCATGTGTGTTTCATTACTTAAGTTTCTTGATGATAAGGGAGTGTTCCATATGCATATGAATAAAAGACATGTTAAACACAAAAATATGATGTTTGGTCTCTTTCTATCTTGTTTTTCAGGGTAGGACCAGATTATGGGCAGAAGTCCTTTAAATTAATTTATCATCATCATGGCTAATGAGGGCTGTCCCAAGGCTGGTGATAGTCTTTTTTCATCAGAAAAACATGCCCAACTCATCTTAGCCCAGATGAATAAAATGAGGAATGGACAGCATTTCTGTGATGTGCAGTTACAAGTTGGGAAGGAAACTTTTAAAGTTCATCGGCTGGTTCTGGCTGCCAGTAGTCCTTACTTTGCAGCTTTGTTCACTGGAGGAATGAAAGAGTCCTCTAAAGATGTTGTACAGATTCTAGGAATTGAAGCTGCAATATTTCGAATACTTCTAGATTTCATTTATACAGGTATGTTAAGTGAGCCTGTAGTTTTAAGTAAAGAATGATGCAGTCACTCATGTACTGCTATGGAAATATAAATTGATATTACTTATATGGAAAGTAATTTCACAATTTATTATTATGAGTCTTTGAAAGATTCCTATCTTTTGACCTTGTATTCTCTTTCTAGGAATACTAAGGAACTAATTAGGGATTCGGGCTAAATGTACAGGATATTTATAACATCCAGGATATTTATAACATCCTATATAATAAAGAGGTAATGTGGAAATGGTCGTTACACGTCACGACCAGCAGAGAGCTACAGGAGTCTGGGGTAGTGAGCTACTAATGGCGGAGAGCAACAGGAGGGCAAAGCAGCGAGCTATGATCAGCGAAGAGCTACAAGCAGAGGTGGGTGGGGTGGCCAGCTGAGGCACGTGGCAACTCACACACAGATTCATGTGCAGGGTTACTATTTATAATAGTTTAATTGCAATCTAATTCTTCCCGCAGTAGGTAATATGGTTAAATAAATTATGGTACACATAGGTAATAGAATATTTTTTAATATATTTTATTGACTTTTTACAGAAAGAAATGGAGAGGGATAGAGAGAGAAACATCGATGAGAGAGAAACATTGATCAGCTGCCTCCTGCACAACCCCCACTGGGGATGTGCCTACAACCAAGGTACATGCCCTTGACCGAAATCAAACCCGGGACCCTTGAGTCCACAGGCTGACACTCTTATCCACTGAGCCAAACTGGTTTTGGCGGTAATAAAATATTTTTAAGACCTTGCAAATGATTTAAATATATACTATCATGGAAGGATATTTGCAATATATTAAATGAAGATAATCTGTATGTAAATACCACTTCAATTTTGTTTTTAAAAATCATTTGTTTGTATTTGTGCACAATGTTGGTGTTTACCTCTAGATGATGGAATATGGAAGATTCTTATTTTTCCTTTTTTTCTGTTTTTTTCTTCAAAATGTCATAACCAATTATTTTTTTTTAAATATATTTTATTGATATTTTACAGAGAGGAGGAAGGGAGAGAGATAGAGAGCTAGAAACGTCGATGGAGAGAGAAACATCGACCAGCTGCCTCTTGCACACCCCCTACCAGGGATGTGCCCGCAACCAATGTACATGCCCTTGACCGGAATCGAACCTGGGACCTTTCAGTCCGCAGACCGACGCTCTACCACTGAGCCAAACCAGTTTCAGCATAACCAATTATTTTAATCAAAACTTTTACTTCTAAAAATTTTTGAAGAGTTTAGTGATATTAGAAAATCCACATAAAAACTATATATAAAGTTTTAATCTTATGTAACAAATATACGTGGGAAAATTTTGAAAGAAATATAAAATAAAATGTTAATAGTGTATGTATATGGAAAATATGTGATTTTCATATTCATTTTTATACTTTTTACCTAACATTTTTTCTGGAGTGAATACATATTACTTTTATAATCAGGAGAAAAAGTTTAAAACAATGACTGTTGTTTGGTCTAGTTTTGAGACTACACCATACTCTCCGTAAAGGAGATCATTATGTGGCCTGATAAAGTGTTGCTTATTTAATCCATAATATTTACAACTGGAAAATAACAAAAAGTAATTTTTCTTTGTGTAGTTTTATATTCTTTTTTGGAAAACTTCAGAAAATAACTTAATTGGAGGATTGTAAAAATGACTTTTTTATCTACAGAAAATAATGCAGCTGTGCCTATTGGCTAATATACAAATTAACATTGAGAGGTTCTGATTTCTCTTTTGTAAATGACTTGTGTGAGTTGAAAACTGCTTCATAAATACCCTTGCTTCTCATACTTGCAAAATAGAAATGAACAGATTAATCCAATGGAATTAATTGAACTACAGAAAAACAAGAAATGCCACAAACTGTCTACTCCACCTTGTTGTCTGATAGTGGCAAGAAGAGATATTTAGTGAAAGAGAATGTTCATGGCATCATTACCATATTGCTAGTAATTAGCACTTCCATCAAAGAAATAAGAAGTGGTAAAACCCAGAGAAATAAAAGCTACTGAGCATATCTAGGGCAGTGGTTGGCAAACTCATTAGTCAACAGAGCCAAATATCAATAGTACAATGATTGAAATTTCTTTTGAGAGAGAAATTTTTTAAACTTAAACTTCTTCTAACGCCACTTCTTCAAAATAGACTGGCCCAGGCCACGGTATTTTGTGGAAGAGCCACACTCAAGGGGCCAAAGAGCTACATATTCCTCTCGAGCCACAGTTTGCTGACCATGGATCTAGGGAAAAATAACATTGTACAATGTTAACATTTAAGGCTAAAACTGGTGTAACAGTTAAGAATAATGTTTGTCTGCTAAACCAGACAGGAGTTTGTTTATTTTTCCACAAAAATGAATCCATAATAATTCAAAGGCTGGTATAGTGGCTTCATGATGTCATTAGTGCCCCATTATTCATCTATCATTTTGTTCCACCATCTGTAGTTTGTAACCTCTAATGTTGTCACTGAATCCAGCCAGTGGAAGGAGGAAGAGAGAAAGGCAAAAGAGCCTGCCCCCTGAGTCTATCCTCTTTCTAAGCTTTTCTAGTAACCTAACCAATAACTGCTACTTATATCCTTTTAGCTAACCTCAGTCAAAAATTTATTTCTATCTGCCAAAGGAAGCTAAGGAATATAATTTTCATCTGGGCACAATTGCTACCCAAAGCAAAATCAAGGTTCTAATTAGTAAAGATGAAAATAAATTTTGGGTATATATATATTAGGGAACTTTGTAATCTGATACAATTAGTTTTTAAAAATGTTCTTTGATTTTCATTGTAATGGCATTTCCTTTTAGGGGAATGTGGGGGCAGCAAAGCCTGTTATTCTGTTCATCTCTCCTTTGGACTTACCTATGCACTAGTGGCCCAGTGCCCAAAATTCGTGCACTCGGGTGGGGGGGTCCCTCAGCCTGGCCTGTGCCCTCTTGCAGTCTGGGAGCCCTTGGGGGATGTCTGACTGCTTAGGCCCGCTCACCCCGGGAGCCTGGCTTCTGGCTGAGCAGCCCTCTCTCTGTGGGAGCGCACTGACCACCAGGAGGCAGCTCCTGCATTGAGTTTCTTCCCCCTGGTGGTCAGTCCGTGTCATAGCAACCAGTCATTCTGCAGTTCCATCAATTTGCATATTAACCTTTTATTATATAGGATTCTTTATTAACTATTGACAATTCTGCTAAGTCATTACAGATTTCTCACCTTAGATTTTTTTATGCACTTCACTTAGAATCAAATGATCTGGGTTTGTTATCTAGCTCTGCCTCTAAAAAGCTATGTGATATAAGGCATTTCATTTAACTTTATAGTCAAATATTCATTCTTTTTTATATTTATGAATACTTTTTGAGTTATGTATATGGAGTAGAGAAGACAGGAATGGATGGCCTCTACCTTCACAAAGTTTTCTATGTAATGCAGATTAAGTATTTATAAAATAGAAAGGAGCTTGTGAGAGTCTCATTTTTCTTAAGGTAAAATGGGGATAGTAGCACTTTATAATTCTTGTGAAGATTAAATAAGATAAAATTTAATAAATAAAAAAAGTATTTTTTGTAATCTATAAACCTTATTCACTTGGTGAGCTTTTTTTTTTTTTTTATCATTACTCTTAAGTAACTCTTGGCATAATCCAGTAGCAGTCATTCAGCCCCCTTATATCACAAATCATGATCTTGTCTTCTCCAACTAAGTTTGTGGTGAGTTCTCATTTTATTCAAGTAACATTTATATCAGTTTTCTTTGAAGCCACTACCATTTACTCCCATCGTGGATTCCATTTCTTATACTTGGAAAAAACCCTGTTTGTATTCAACAAATCATATTCTGCCTCTCACCATAATATCTTTGGTCATTAATTCATTCATTCATAACAAAATTTTTGAGCACTTAGAGTAGACTAGGCATTAGAAATACAGAAGGGGCAAGTCTTGACACAACAGACTGTAAATCTAATTGGGAAAACAAACTTTAAACAAATAATTTAGAGGATCAAATGGGGAGAAAAGAGTAAAGGGAAAGTATAAAATTGGATGGAGAGTTTATCCTTATTAAGAAGGAGAATTACAGTGGCTTATTTTCCTTCTAAATATGATTGACTATTTGATGTCCCTCCAAAGTCACTATGTAAATATATAAAAGTGAAGCCCTCTGAAAAAAGAGTGATATAGGAAAGTGAAGTGAATATATATGAATATATGAAAGTGAAGCCCTCAGATAAAAGTGATATATATATAAACATATATATATTTACTTAAATGTTAATTATTAGTAACATCATATGTTATAGACTCTTAGTTACACATAATATTAAATTAACATTTGTACATCATTTTATCATAATTGAAGATAGAGACCCTGTCTTGCCTTCCCAAGTGCCTAACTTACATATTTATTAGATGCATATAGCTTTACGTTAAAAGCATGGGATTTGGTGTCAATCCCTACCCTTAACTCACTTAACCGTGTGATTTGAGAAATTACTTTCACAAAAACAGAACAAAAACCCTACTGTATGGGGTTGCAGTCAGGGTTAAATGAATGTATAAAGCAATTAATGCTATGTCTGCTCATTGTAAGTGTTCCGTAAATGTTATGTATCTTTATCATTTAAGTTTTGTGCTCTTTCTATAAATCCTTTGTTGCTTTTTTACTTAGCTATTGGTGGAATCAAATATAATGCCTGTTTAATATAAGTCAAATGTTTGTTTTTATTTTACTGTACTGGTTACTTGTCTCCTTTTTCCCTAGGCATAGTGGACATAGGTGTGAATAATGTCCAGGAGTTGCTTGTTGCAGCAGACATGCTACAATTGACTGAAGTTGTTAATCTTTGCTGTGCATTTCTGAAAGGACAAATTGATCCACTGAACTGCATTGGGATCTTTCAGTTCTCTGAGCAAATTGCCTGCCATGATCTTTTGGAATTCACAGAAAACTATATTCATGTCCATTTCTTGGAGGTTCAGAGTGGGGAAGAGTTCCTGGCACTTACAAAAGATCAGTTGATCAAAATTTTGCGAAGTGAAGAGCTTAGCATTGAGGATGAGTACCAGGTCTTCTTAGCTGCAATGCAGTGGATTCTCAAAGATCTGGGAAAAAGAAAAAAATTCGTGGTGGAAGTGCTAGACCCAATTCGATTTCCTTTATTACCTCCTCAGAGGCTTTTAAAGTATATAGAAGGTAATTTTTTAAATATATTTTATTGATTTTGTACAGAAAGGAAGGGAGAGAGATAGAGAGCTAGAAACATCGATGAGAGTCATCGATCAGCTGCTTCTTGCATACCCCCTACTGGAGATATGCCCGCAACCAAGGTATATGCCCTTGACCGGAATCGAACCCGGAACCTTTCAGTCCCCAAGCCGGCTCTATCCATTGAGCCAAACCGGTTTCGGCTAGAAGGCAATTCTTTGTTGTATATCAGTCAATTACTTATCCAACGGCTATTTTGCTTTTTGAAATGTGATAATGTTTTCATTTCTCAGTTCAGTAGGCATTTATTGAATGATTACTGTATGCAAGATATAGATTTGTGTTTTTATGGGTAGACAGTTAAATTTCCATATTTCTACTTTTACTTTAATAAAATCCTATTTACCTTTCTTGAAATTAAATACTAATGGAGATTAGAGCTATAGATAAAATTACTGACTGAGCTAAAATACTGCTGTTTTTGGCAGTACTAATTATTTCAGTATAAGATTTCTTCTTGTTGGGAACCTTTGTAATAATATGAACAATAAAGATTGATTTAAAAAAATAAAAAATAAAGAACTGGGGGGAAAAATAAGATTTCCTCTTGTTGCTTTTAAAAAGTCAGCAACACCTAACATTTGAGGAAAATGCATATGCTAAAAACAAAACTCAAACAATAAATCCTGTAAGTCCTCTCATAAAATACATTTTATATTCATATATCATAGCTCCTACATGCCTTTGAATCATCTTTAGGCTTTAAACTTTGAAAATACTTTTCACCATATAAAATAGTTTTTATCTTTATATTAGAACAATGATGCCGAAACCGGTTTGGCTCAGTGGATAAAGCGTTGGCCTGCGGACTGAAAGGTCCCTGGTTCGATTCTGGTCAAGGGCACGTACCTTGGTTGCGGGCACATCCCCAGTAGGGGGTGTGCAAGAGGCAGCTGGTCGATGTATCTCTCTCATCAACATTTCTAACTCTCTATCCTTCTCAATTCCTCTCTGTGTAAAACCAATAAAATATATTTAAAAAAAGAAAGAAAAAGAACAATGATAATATTTAAATTTATTTTTTTTAACTACTTTAGACTTGATTTCAAGATTTGAAGGTTGTTTTGGGTGGGTTTTTTGTTTTTTTTTTTTTTTATTAATCCTTACTCAAAGATATTTTTCCATTGATTTTTAGGGAGAATGGAGGAGAGAGGGAAAGACAGAGAGAGAGATCAATGTGGGAGAAACACATCGATAGGTTGCCTCCTCCTGCATGCGCCCAGGACAGGGTCAGAGAGCAACCAAGCTACGTGCTCTTAACCAGAATCGAACCCAGGACCCTTTGGTCCACAGACTGACACTCTATCCACTGAGCCAAACTGGCAAGATTTGAAGTTTTTACTCTTGTCCTACACTGAATGAGAAACTTGAGGATGTGACTGAATTATAAATAATGTAAGAGCTAATTCTCTGGACATCTTTTCTATTTTAGTTTAACTACTTTGTTTCTCCCATCTAAAAATTTGAGAGCTAGCTGTTACGTTCTCACCACTTCTTTCTATTATAGCTTGAAACATGAAAGAAGTGGAAGAATAGAGATTTGCTAAGGCTCTGGTCCTTCCTTAGGGACCTGGTTCTGAGCTCTCTTATGAGATCCTACTTAACCCAGCCAAGGCTGAATCTCAAGATTTTTTAAATTGACCTTCTTTCCTCAATATTGCATCTGAGATGTATGGACAAGTCTAGGAGACAGTCCCTTGCTAGCATAAATGGGCCTTTGTTCAAATTTGAAAATAGTGCCCTTTTAGGGGGGTCTGAGAGCTTGCCAGGTGGGATACAGGTTGACTTTCATCCCCAATTCACCTCAGCTTAGTACCCTTGAGCAGGAAAAACCTACCCAATCATGCTCAAAGTCTCTAGTAAATGGATCTCATCCCAACAGCTCTTTTGTTTCTTGCTTTCACTATCATTTTATAAAGTTTATGACATAATTTTGTACCTTTTGTTATTAAGTTGTATGTATTGAATTTTTTTAAAAATATATATTTATATTTTATTGATTTTTCACAGAGAGGAAGGGAGAGAGAGAGAGAGCTAGAAACGTCGATGAGAGAAACATTGACCAGCTGCTCCTTGCACACCCCCCCACCGGGGATGTGCCCGTAACTGATGTACATGCCCTTGACCGGAATCGAACTGTATGTATTGAATTTTGAGTTACTTTTTTTTTTTTTCATTTTGTTACATAATTGTAATTTAATTTCACCTTGCCATCTTTATTTAGAAATCCTCATACATGTATTTTAAAATTGTCTAGTATGGCCGAAACCAGTTTGGCTCGGTGGATAGAGCGTTGGCCTGTGGACTGAAAGGTCCCAGGTTCGATTCCAGTCAAGGGCATGTACCTTGGTTGCAAGCACATCCCCAGTAAGGGTGTGCAAGAGGCAGCTGATCAATGATTCTCTCTCATCGATGTTTCTAACTATCTCTCTTCTCTCTTCCTCTCTGTAAAAAATCAATAAAATATATATTTTTTATAATTGTCTAGTATGAAGCATTATTAAAAAATATTTTTTATTGATTTCAGAGAGTAAAGGAGAGGGATAGAAAGATAGAAACATCAATGATGAGAGAGAATCAATGATTGGCTGCCTCTTGCACACCCACAACAACATGTGCCCTGACCAGGAATACAACTGTGACCTCCTGGTTCATAAGTTGATGCATAACCATTGAGCAACACTAGTTGGACTGAAGCATTTTTAAAATAAAAATGTTTTTATTGGTTTTAGAAAGAGAATGAGAGAGAAACATCAATTTGTGCACTGGTCATTGTGACTCAGTTTATTGAGCATCATCCTGTGCACTAAAAGGTTGCCAGTTCAATTTCTGTTCAGGGCACATGTCCAGGTTACAGGTTTGATACCCTTTAAGGATGTTTTTGGAAGGCAACCAATGAAAGTATCGCTCTCACATTGATGTTTCTCTCCCTCTCCCTTTCTCTCTAAAACAATCAACAAAAAACTTAAGAAAAGGAAACATTGATTTGTTGTTCTACTTATTTTTTAAAATATATTTTATTGACTTTTTACAGAGAGGAAGGGAGAGGGATAGAGAATTAGAAACATCGATCAGCTGCCTCTTGCACACCCTCTACTGGGGATGTGCCCGTAACCAAGGTACATGCCCTTGACTGGAATCGAACCTGAGACCCTTGTGTCCGCAGGCCTACGCTCTTATCCACTGAGCCAAATCAGTCAGGGTTTGTTTTACTTATTTAGCAATCCTTGTTGATTTTTATATGTGCCCTGACCTGGGATAGAACCCGTAACCTCAGCATATCAGGCAACACTCTAACCAACTGAGCTACCCGGTCAGGGCCATGAAGTATATATATATTTTTTAAATCTTTGGCCCAGCCAGCATGACTCTAGTTAAGTGTCAACCTATGAGATCACAGTTTGATTCCCTATTACAGCCTTGATCCTCAGTGGGGGGCATGCAGGAGGCAGCCGATCAATGTTTCTCTCTCATCATTGATGTTTCCCTCAAACTTCCTCTTTAAAATCAATAAAAATATATTTTAAAAAATATATTTAACAAAAGTATATTTTTTAGTAACAATGAGAAAAATAATATTTGGTATTATAGGAAATGGTGTGGTTAAATCACACCATTGTCTGATGATAAGTTTTTATTTTTGTCAATATTTTTATGTAAGCATATCATTTCAATATTATTTAAAAGTTGATTAAACATTATCTTTTTAAATATTGCTTTAGGAGTATCTGATTTTAATCTTCGTGTTGCGTTGCAAACACTTTTGAAAGAGTACTGTGAAGTGTGCAAATCTCCCAAAGAGAACAAGTTTTGTAGTTTTCTGCAGACATCTAAGGTTCGACCTCGGAAGAAAGCAAGAAAATATCTGTATGCAGTAGGTGAGAATCTTTATTTATTTATTCTTTTTTCTTTCTTTCTCTTTTTACATTGTATTTATTGGAGTGACATTGGTTAATAAAATTATATAGGTTTTAGATGTACAATTTTATAATGGTGATAGAGGTTATCTTTATTTTCAGGATCAAAATCTTTTAATATTTTATTGTTATTATAAATGTTAGAATATTCATGTATTTAATATTTAATTTTACATGCAGACTACAGATTTATAAATTGTCGTTATATATTACAGTGAACGCATCTAAAAATTAAATAGCTTCTCATTTGACATCATTCTGTGATCTGAATTTTTGGTTCTTAGATTACTCAATTATTGTCAATAACTGACTACAGAAATATTACTTTAAAAGTTGAAAATTTGCTTCAGGAGTATCTGATTTTAACCTTCATGTTGCAATGCAGGAAGGAAAGTGAACCTCAAAAATATTAACTATTCACAGTGTCATAGATGATCATTAGGGATGATAAGAACCAGCGGTCTCCAAAGTGTGGGTGTGCAGGATAATACATAGGCATATCAGATGAACATATTAAAATCTCTCTTTATTTTTATTTTAAAAGCATTAAACCATATCAGTATTATATATATATATATATATATATATATATATACACACACACACTCACACATGCACATATATATATATATGTTAGTATTGACAGATCGCCTAGATTTATATGGATAATATAATTTATATATAAATATATGTATGTAATTATATTATAATTTTATATGTGCTATAATGTATAAATATATAATTTTAGTGCATACTAAACTTTTTTAATGAGAAGTGCAGTCAAATGTGAATTTCAACTACCTATTTTTTAAAAACATGTGTTTTTATTAATTTTTTTAGATAGAGTGGAAGGGAGAGAGAGAGAGAGAGAAAGCAATCTGCTGACACCTGTACACCCTCTAATGGGGTTTGAGCCCACAAGTACAGTGTGTGCCTTGATCAGGAATCAAATCAGCAACATCTTGCTGCATGGGATGACACTCAACTGAGCCACACTAGCAGGTCTCAATTCAGAATTTTTATTTTATTTATTTATTTTTTTTAATTTTTAAAAAATATTTTTTATTGATTTCTTACAGAGAGGAAGGGAGAGAGATAGAGAGCTAGAAACGTTGATAAGAGAGAAACATCAACCAGCTGCCTCTTGCACACCCCCACCAGAGATGTGCCCGCAACTGATGTACATGCCCTTGACCAGAATTGAACCTGGGACCCTTCAGGCCGCAGACCAATGCTCTACCACTGAGCCAAACCGGTTTTGGCTCAATTCAGAATTTTTAATTGAGACACTAATAGAGGTCATAACGAGACTTTTTTTTAAGAAAATGTTTTTATTGATTTCTTTTCCCTTTTTTTTTCTTTTTTCCCAGAGAGAGAGAAAGAGAGAGAGAGAGAGAGAGAGAGAGACATCAATCCCCTGCCTCCTGCATGCACCCTGACCGGGGATGGAGCAAAACGTGGGCATGTGCCTTGACAGAATCAGACTGTGACCTTTTGATGCACAGAATGAAGTTCAGCCAACTGAGCCACACTGCCAAGGGCAGAAACTTTTTAACTAGACAGAAAACCAGCTCCTAGATTATGTTATTTTTTGTTGTTTTTTTTGGGTTTTGTTTTTTGTTGTTGTTAATCCTCACCCAATGGGGATATTTTTCCCCCATTAATTTTTTTAGAGACAGTGGAAGGGAGTTAGGGGAAGAGAGAGAGCATCAATGTGAGGGAGACACATGGATTTATTGCCTCCCACATCCTCACCCTCCAACCAAGGCTGGAGATCAAACCTGCAACCTGGGAATATGCCCTTGACCAGGAATGGAACCCGAGACCCTTTGGTCTGCATGCCAACACTCTAACCACTGAGCATACCAGCAAGGGCTAGATTTATGTTTTATCTAATATTCTATATAACTAAGACCACATAGTACAACATTGTGGTTAATTCACTTTATTTAAGCCATAATCTTTCAGGATTTGACACATTTAAGAATAATATATATATGGCAAGCTCTAAAGCATTTATTCCTTGTTATAAATAGTTATACTAAACTAGAGACCCGGTACATGAATTCGTACATGGGTGGAGTCTGGCTGGCTGGCCAGATTGGGGCCAATTGGGGCTGGGCTAGCTGGAGGGAGCAGCCATGGGAGGTTGGCTGGTCGCCCCCAACCCCGATGGGGAGGGAGCTAATAGGGAGTGGAGCTAGCCAGTGGGAGGGGCCACAGGCAGCCACACTGGTCGAACTCCCGGTCGAGGGGAAAATTTGCATATTAGCCTTTTATTATATAGAATGTCTAGATGTAGAGGGCCAGATTTTTCTTATTACCATTTCCACATTTAGCAGTAAGGGATTTGCTGTGTTCCTCCTTTTCTTCCTTTGTTCAGGTGGATATACTCGGTTGCAGGGTGGTCGTTGGAGTGATAGCAGAGCCCTGAGCTGCGTAGAACGTTTTGACACCTTTAGCCAGTACTGGACTACTGTATCTTCACTTCATCAAGCTCGATGTGGGCTGGGAGTAGCAGTTCTGGGAGGGATGGTCTATGCTATTGGAGGTAATGATGAGAATGTCATATTTCCCTTATTAATCTCTAGCTATAAGTTGGCTTATATGCTTATTGTGAGGCTATGGGGTATACATAGCTACATTGTGCTTAATAAATATTTATTGAATAGCCAAAACTGGTTTGGCTCAGTGGATAGTGCATCGGTCTGTGGACTGAAAGATCCCAGGTTCGATTCTGGTCAAGGGCATGTACGTTGGTTGCGGGCACATCCCCGGTATGGGGTGTGCAAGAGGCAGCTGGTTGATGTTTCTCTCTCATCGATATTTCTAGCTCTCTATCCCTCTCCCCTCCTCTCTGTGGAAAATCAATAAAAAAATAAAATTATATATATTTTTATATATATAATTATATATATTGAATAAATATATATATATATAATATATTGAATAAATAAGTGAAAGAAATTAAAAGAAAACACAAAATAATTGAATATTCCAGACCAGAGGGATATTATAACTTTTCATAAGGCAGAATACTTAAATTTGGTATTGTCTGGGTTGTTGTTGTTTTTTTGTTGTTTTAAATATATTTGTATTGATTTTAGAAGGAAGAGGGAGAGAGATAGAAACATCACTGAGGAGATAGAATCATTGATTGGCTGCCTCCTGCAGAACCCACACTGGAGATAGAGCCCACAATATGGGCATGTGCCTTGACCAGGAATTGAACCATAACCTCCTGATTCATAGTTCAACACTCAACCACTGAGCCACACTGGCCAAGCACTGTTGTGTATTTGTTAATTGCTTTTTAAAATACATATTTTATTGATTTCACAGAGAGAGAGAAATAAAAACATCAATAATGAGCCTTAGCTTGTTTGGCTCAATGGATAGAGTGTTGGTCTGAAGACTAAAGGGTCCTGGGTTCGATTCCTGTCAAGGGCATATGCCCAGGTTGCAAACTCAATCCCTTGTGTGGGGCATGCAGGAGGCAGCTGATCAGTGATTTTTCTCTCATCATTGATGTTTCTATCTCTCTTTCTCCCTTTTCTGAAATCAATTAAAAAAAATTTTTTTTAAAGAAAAGTTGTTCATACAATGTGGCACCAAAATTTAGGTTATTTATTTATCATTAAAAAGTTTTTAAATTCTGAAAGCTGCATTACAAATCAATTTTAATTAACCAAGTTATCCAGTTAGTGGGACATACAAAAACCAAGTCAAGCCGAAACCGGTTTGGCTCAGTGGTAGAGCGTCGGACTGCGGCCTGAAAGGTCCCAGGTTCGATTCCGGTCAGGGGCATGTACGTTGGTTGCGGGCACATCCCCGTAGGGAGTGTGCAAGAGGCAGCTGGTCGATGTTTCTCTCTCATCGAGACGTTTCTAGCTCTCTAGCTCTCTCCCTTCCTCTCTGTAAAAAATCAATAAAATATATTTTAAAAAAAACAAAAAACAAGTCAACTAAACATTTGGGTATATTTCTTTTTTTTTTTCTTTTTTCTTTTTTTAAATATATTTTATTGATTTTTCACAGAGAGGAAGGGAAAGAGAGAGAGAGATAGAAACGTCGATGAGAGAGAAACATCGACCCGCTGCCTCTTGCACACCCCCTACCGCGGATGTGCCTGCAACCAATGTACATGCCCTTAACCGGAATCGAACCCGGGACCTTTCAGTCCACAGACCAACGCTCTACCACTGGGCCAAACTGGTTTCGGCTGGATATATTTCTTGATTGAAATCTTTGTTTTCTGAAACTATTGTGAAATTTATGCTCCAACCAACTGAACCACACTGAACAAGGCTCTAAATACTGTTATAAAAAATTAAGATATAATTCACATACCATCAAATTCACCATTCAGAGTATATAGTTTATTAGTTTTTAGTATATTCACAAAGTAGTACCATCACCACTTATTCCAAAACATTTTCATCACTCCAAAAAGCCTCTCTTATCATTTAGGGAAATTTATTTTTTAAATTTTATTGATTTCAGAGAGGAAGGAGAGGGAGAGAGAAATAGAAACATCAATGATGAGAGAGAATCATTGATCTGATGTCTTCTGCTCACCCCCTACTGGGGATTGTGCCTGCAACCTGGGCATATGCCCTTAACTGGAATCGAACCCAGTACTCTTCAGTCCGCAGACCAACACTTTATCCACTGAGCCAAACTGGTTTCGGCTGAGGTGTTCTTTTTAAGTTTATCTTTATTGTTGAAAGTATTATAGATGTCCCCCTTTATTCCCCATTGACCTGTCCCCACTTCCCCCCAGGCCTTCACCACACTATTTTCTGTTTGTTGCTAGATAAGAATTACATTACTGGTAGAACTAAGATTTTAAAATTGTCAAAATGCAAGTTGTGTGGATTGTTTGGGTGCTAGAATTAGAAATAGATAATAGGAAAATTGTGCCATTACTACATTAAATGGACTTTACTAAATGATAGTGCTATGATTTCAAACTAACACTTACAGGGCAAGTGAATTTTAAGAAATAGTATAAAATCAGACATTATAGTTGAATTTCTGACAACATGAAATGCTACTGAATATTGTATTTTAGACTATGAGCATTACTAAATCTCTTCATATGTGTCTCTTTTATTTAACTTAGGTGAAAAAGATTCAATGATTTTTGATTGTACTGAATGCTATGATCCAGTTACTAAACAGTGGACAACTGTAGCTTCAATGAATCATCCCCGCTGTGGCTTGGGAGTATGTGTGTGTTATGGGGCTATCTATGCTTTGGGTAATTATGCTGTTCAATTTAAGGACATCTAATGTTATTTAAATTCTTAGATTCTGATTACTTAGAACTTTTCCTTCCCTCCCATAAGAAACATTTTCCTTTTAGCTTTATAAATTATTCTTCTCAAAATACTATTAGTTGGGGGATATTGTCAAATGTGGAGTTCTTAGAAAGAGATGGAGATAAAATATGAATGAGATATCCAATGAAGCTCTTTAGCTGATAGTTAAACTGCATGATTAGTATAAGCAGTCTAAATATGCAGAAGTTGTTTCAAAAGACAGTTTTGCAAAATACCGAATTTCCTATGCAATATGTTGACGTTTGTGTGTTGTTTTTAAAGTAAATTTTTATTTATTTTTTTAAAATATGTTTTATTGATTTCTGAGAGGAAGGAAGAGGGAGATAGAAACAGCAATGATAAAATCATTGATTGGCTGCTTCCTGCATGCCCCACATGGGATCAAGCTCGCAATCCAGGCATATACCCTGGCTAGAATTGAACTGTGTCCTGGTTCATGAGTTGGTGCTCAACCACTGAGCCATGCCAGTTAAGCTATATTTTTTATTTTAGAGAGAGGAAGAGGACGATATAGAGAGATAGAAACATCAATGAGAGAAGCATCATCAATCTGCTGCCTCCTGCACACCTCCTACTGGGAATTGAGCCCACAACCTGGAATTGAACCGTGAACCAGAAGGCCTGTGCTCAACCACTGAACCACATTGGGCAGACTTTTGTTTTATTTTATTTATTTTTATTTTTAAAATATATTTTATTGATTTTTTACAGAGAGGAAGGGAGAAGGATAGAGAGCTAGAAACATCAATGAGAGAGAAACATCGATTAGCTGCCCCCTGCATACCCCCTACTGAGGATGTGCCTGAAACCAGTGTACATGCCCTTGATTGGAATCGAACCTGGGACCCTTCAGTCCGCAGACCAACACTATCCACTGAGCAAACCAGTTTCGGCTGTTTTGTTTTATTTTAAATTCCTAATTGAAAATAGGCAGAGAGTTAAAAGATCTGAGTTCTACTCAGTCAAATTCAAACTTCTCTTGTGATCTTGGACAAATAACCCCTCTATTCCATGTGATAATCATCCATAATATGAAGTTGTCAGGTTAGATGTTTTTTAAGGTGTTTTTGATAAATAAGACATAACATTTTTCTGTTTGGTTGTAGGTGGATGGGTTGGATCTGAGATAGGAAATACCATTGAACGATTTGATCCTGATGAAAATAAATGGGAAGTAGTTGGCAACATGGCTATGTCACGCTACTACTTTGGCTGTTGTGAAATGCAAGGTGATTGATTGCTTTATAAAATGTTTTTCCTGAAAATATCTATAATAATAAAAGTGTAATATGCAAATTGGCTGAACAACCGAACAGCAGGACAACCATCTGGATGACCACGGTATGACATCCATTGGTGCCAGGCCAGCGGAAGAGGGTGCAATATGATTGGTCAGGGGCCCTGCAGAGAGAGATCCAGGCCACCAGCCAGCAGGGCGATCAATTAATCGGGGGGCTCCCTGATCACCCCAAAGAGGGAGGCCCAGGTCAACAACTGGCAGGCTGCAGTGAGTGGGCGGGGCCTACTTCTTTGGGGTGATGATGGATCATGGGGCTCCCAGATTGTGAGAGGGCACAGGCTGGGCTGAGGGAATCCTCCCCCAGGTGCACAAATTTTATGCACTGGGCCTCTATTTATAAAAACAGACTGAGGCATTTATTTACAGAAAAATATATTTATGTCTATTAGTATTAAATGTTTAACGCTAACAATATGGAAGTTCTGCTTTTAACCTCATATCTTTTTAACTTTTTTCTTTATTTCTGTATTATCAAATAATATATTTTTGTCCAAAATAAACAAAGTTAGAATTTAAAATTACAGATAGGAAAAAACACCTGACTAGTAAAATAAGCATTTAAAATACCATTCTTGCCCTAGCCAGTTTGTTCAGTAGATACACCATTGGCCTGTGGACTGAAGGGTCCTGGGTTCAATTCCAGTCGAGGGCACATGCCTAGGTTGTGGGCTCAGTCCCCGGATAGAGGGCGGGCAGGAGACAGCTGATCAATGATTCTCTCTCATCACTGATGTTTCTCTCTCCCTCTCCCTCTCCCTTTCTCTCTCAAATCAATAAAAATATTTTTTAAGAATAAATAAAAATAAAATGTCATTGTTGTCCTGGCTGGTTTGGCTCAGTGATGGCCTATGGACTGAAGGATCTCAGGTTCAATTCCTGTTTGTGTTATGGTTCTAGACCATTAGCATTACTAAATCTCAAGGGCACATACTTTGGTTGCAGATTCCCCAGCCCCGATAGGGGTGCATATGGGAGGTAACCAATAATGCGTGTCTTTCACATCAGTTTCTCTCTCTCTTCCCTTCTACTCTCTAGAAGACAATGGAAAATATATCTTCGGGTGAGGATTAAAAAATAAATGAGCTAAATTAAATGTCATGTTTTATTGTAATTTTGTCTCCCATTTAGGCCTTAGCAAGTATTTCTAAGGAGAGACTATAAAAAAAACAATCTTCACATTCCCTTCTTTTTTTTTTAAATATATTTTATTAATTTTTTACAGAGAGGAAGAGAGAGGGACAGAGAGTTAGAAACATCGATGAGAGAGAATCATTGATCAGCTACCTCTTGCACACCTCCCACCAGGGATGTGCCTGCAACCAAGGTACATGCCCTTGACCGGAATCGAACCCGGGACCTTTCAGTCTGCAGGCCAACGCTCTATCCACTGAGCCAAACCGGTTTTGGCCACATTCTCTTATAGGCTTCTACAGTGTGTGTTTTTTATAGGGTACATTGTGATTCAGTTTACGTAGAATATGATGCTACAATGGATTTGAAAAATGTTGCACTGAATATTATAATTGTATATAGACATTATTTTAATTGTCTATTATACCCTGAGAGATAGTTAGTTCTGTCAAATAAAACCTGATTCTCTGTCCAGAGTTAGAGAGCAAATTTGTATGTACCTGCAGAGTAGGAAATAGTCTGTTCATTGTTAGATGACAACTCAGCCTACTTTGTTCCCAGCTCAAGTTCTTCCTGCTTTGTGAGCACTTTCTCAGATTTCCACTAGCATTTAAATGTACAAATTACACGGTACAAACTATATTATAATGTTATCTAGTTGTTTTGTATTTATTATTTTTATCTTCCCAACTAAAAATCAGAGTGAGCAAGGCAACTTGGAGATTATATATTTCCACCCCTTTATTTATAAATGTGGAAGCTGAAGATTAGGAAGGTTGTGAGTTATCTTTTTTCATAGCTGGTTACTGGATAGCTGGAGCTAGTTTATTAACATTTAGCTCACATTTCTTAAAATGCCATTAAAGTGAGGAGTTATAATCTATAGCTCCTCACTTTAGAATGTGGGAAACACACTGGGTACTCAGAAATAATTGTAAATGGACAGAACCATTAGTTTCAATCAAATTTAAATTTAAAAAGGAACTCTCTATGAATTATATTATACTCTAGTGTTTGATCTGATATTTTAATCTAGCCATATAAATATTATAATTTAAATTCAATTATCTATTTTATGTCCATATGAACAACAGTTAGGCTTTCACAGTTTAAGTGCATAATATATTTTTTAATATATTTTTATTGATTTCAGAGATGAAGAGAGAGAGTGAGAGAAACATCAATGATGAGAGAGAATCATTGATCAGCCTCCTGCACACCCCCTACTGGGGTATCCAGCTAGCAACCCACGCATGTGCCCTGACTGGGAATCAAATCATGACCTCCTGGTTCATAAAGTCAGTGTTCAACCACTGAGCCACGCCTGCCAGGTTTAAATGTATAATATGTTTTAGGGGGAACGGGGGAGTCCCTTTCCCTTTCTTTTGTTATCTATATATGGTAGCATTAGGAACTTGAGATCATCAAGCAGACAATAAGATGGGAAATTCTTGTCTGACATTTCTTTTTTTATAGCATCATTAGGTTCATTGAATATTTAATTACACTGTAAATTCATACCCCTAACTCTAACATGCTTAAATGTGAGCTGTAATAAATTAGACAGATGTCAATTCTGTTTAGAAAAAATTGTTATAGCCCTATATTAAATACAACAAACTGAAATCACAACTTTTGCTAATTATTGTGTCCTATTTTCTATAGCATCTGAGCAAAAATATTCCATTTCCAGGTTTAATTTATGTAATTGGGGGCATCAGCACTGAAGGAATAGAACTTCGTTCTTTTGAAGTTTATGATCCACTTTCCAAGCGTTGGTCTCCACTTCCTCCAATGGCAACCAGGAGAGCATATCTTGGGGTGGCTGCACTCAATGACTGCATATATTCCATTGGAGGGTGGAATGAGACTCAAGATGCTCTTCATACTGTAGAAAAATATTCCTTTGAAGAGGTAGGTTGGGTGATTTTAAATATTTAGTATCCTGTTATTCTTTTAAATGTCTTTAAGATCTGTAGTACTCTAGCTAGTTTGGCTCAAATGGATAGAGCGTCAGCCTGCAGACTGCAGGGCCCCAGGTTCAATTATGATCAAGGGCATGTACCTCAGTTGCAGGCTTAATCCCTGGCCCTGGTTGGGGCTAGTGTGGGAGGCAACCAATTGATGTGTCTCTCTCACATCAATGTTTCTCTCTCTGTCTTCTCCCTCCCACCCCTCTTCACCCTCTCTCTCAGAATCGGGGAAAATATCCTCGGGTGTGGATTAACAACAAAAAAGATCTGTAGTTATGTACATTCTTTCATTTAGATGTTGATCATGGAGTTTTCTCTTTTCAAAAGAAGTAACTTTTGCCGAAGCCGGTTTGGCTCAGTGGTAGAGCGTCGGTCTGCGGACTGAAAGGTTCCAGGTTCGATTCTGGTCAAGGGCATGTACATGGGTTGCGGGCACATCCCCGGTAGGGGGTGTGCAAGAGGCAGCTGGTCGATGTTTCTCTCTCATCGACGTTTCTAGCTCTCTATCCCTCTCTCTTCCTCTCTGTAAAAAATCAATAAAATATATTAAAAAAAAAAAAAAAAAGAAGTAACTTTTGGTGTCATTGATTTTTTTTTCCTACTTATGTCCACTTTTTTTTTATTTTTTTATTGTCCACATCCTATTTCATTTATTTCTGTTTCTGTTTTTCCCCCCAATATTTATTTTGGGTTTAATTTGCTCTTCTTTTTCTAGAATCTTAAAGTGGAGGCTTATCTGATTGACTTTCAGACCTTTCTTTTCCTATAATGTAATAAACCTTTAAAGCTATAAATTGTTTTCAAGTGCTTCTTTAACTACACCCCACACAATTTGATATGTTTTGTTTTAATTGGCATTTATCTCAAAATATCTTCTAATTTTCCTGGTAATTCCTTCTTTGACCATTGAGTTATTAGAAATGTGTTATTTAATTTCCAAATACTTGGGGATTTTCCAGATATCTTTGTGTTAGTAATCTCTAATTTAATTTCATTGTGATCAAAGATCATACTTGTGGTGATAATTTTTTTTTGTGGTGATAAATATTTCATATGCACCTGAAAAGAATTTGTTTTCTGCTGTTGTTGAGTGTAGAGTTCTATAAATATCAGTTAAATAAACTTTTTTAGTGTTGTTTAAGTATGTCCAACTTGTGTCATTTTTTTGGTAAATTACTAAGAAGTGTTGAAATCTCCACCTATCATGGATTTGTCTATTTTGCTTTACATTTCTGAATCTCTGTTATTAAGTCTATACACATTGAGATTATTATGTCTGCTTGATTAATTCATCCTTTCATAGTATGAAAGATTTTTCTTTACCTCTGTGATAACTTTTGTTCTGAAGTCTACTCTGCCTGATATTAATGCAACCATTAATGTAACCAAGTTGTGTTTTGATTAGTATTTGCATGGTATCCTTTTTCCCTTCTACTTTATTTATTTATTTATTTATATTGATTATGGTATCACATCAGAATTTTGGTTATTTCCCTGTTTTTATATATAAGTAACATACATGCATGTCCTCCTGTCTTTTTTTTTTTTTTAAATATATTTTATTGATTTTTTACAGAGAGGAAAAGAGAGGGATAGAGAGTTAGAAACATCGATGAGAGAATCATCGATCAGCTGCCTCTTGCACACCCCCTACTGGGGATGAGCCCGTAACCAAGGTACATGCCCTTGATCAGAATGGAACCTGGGACCTTTCAGTCTGCAGGCCAACACTCTATCCACTGAGCCAAACCGGTTACAGCTTCCCTTCTACTTTAAATCTGTCTTCACAAACTGCATCTCTTGTAGGATAACATATATTTGTGGTCTATGTTTTTTATACAACTTGGCAATATCTGACTTTCAAATGGAATATTTAGAATTTTTATTATTTATATGTAACGTTATTACAGATAATCGATGGTTTTGACTTTTTATTTTGTTGTTTTTTATTTGTATAATCTTTCTTTTTCATTTCCTCCCTTTTTCTATTTTTATGTTGATTGTTTTATTTATTTTGCAATTAACCATATCTCTTCACCTTTTTTCCTAGGAGCTTTAGGGCTTACATTATATATTATATAAATTTACATTATAAACATATATTTTAATGTATCAAATTTAACTTCAAATAATATTATACTACTTTATTTTCAATGTAAGAAACTTATAAAAACATACTTTCATTCCCAACTCTAATCATTTGTGCTATTTTATTTCTGTATTTATTGTTATAGTTATTTAATAAATTATATTTGAAATACATTTTAATGAGAAAGTCTTTGATAATTATGCATATGTTTACCATTTCTAGTTTAATTTATTCTTTTGTTCAGAGCTAATTTGTATCTCATACCATTTTCTCTTAGCCTAAAGAACTTTTAAAAGTATTTCAGTGTTGCTCTGCTGGCAATGATTCTATTAGCTTAGCTTAACTTCTATTTTCTGAAATTCTTTTTTTCCACCTTCACTTCTAAAGATATTTTGCTGAGTATAGAATTATAGGTTGTTGAGTATTTTTTCCTATTACCTTAAAGGTATTTATCTTCTTGCTTTGTTTCTGATGGGAAGTCAGTAGTTTTCCCTATATGTAATGTGTCTCTTTTTCTTTGGCAGCTTTTAAGATTTTCTCTTTATCATAGGATTCCAGTAACTTGATTATGTGTTTCTCATTGGAGTTTTGTATTTAACCTGCTTGGAATTCATTGAAATTCTTGAATCTTTGGGAATATAGCTTCCATCAATGTTGTCAGCCATATTTCTTCAAATATTTTCTTGCTCTTTTACTGGGACTTCAATAATAGACATGTAAGATCACTTGATATTGTCCCATAGATCACTGAGGATCTTAAATTTTTCCCCATCTTTTTTTCTCTTTGTTCTTCAATTTGTTTTTATTTTCCAGCTTTATTGAGATATAACTGACATATAAAAGTTGCATATATTTAAGGTGTACAGTGTGACATTTTGATATACATCCTACATAATAAAAGCATAATATCCTAAGTATCTGAGCAATCAATCAACCGCTTGACCAGTCCCATGATATGCACTGACCACAGAGGGCAGATGCTCTGACCTGTAGGTTATCTTGCTGCTGGAGTCCTGCCGATTGGGACTGGGGGAAACAGTCCTGATTGCACGCCAGGCCCACCCATGCACGAATTCATGCACTGGGCCTCTAGTTTATATTATAAAATGATTATCACAATCAGGCTAATTAATATATCCATCACCTCACATAGTTTCCCTGTTCCTTTTTTGAGTGTGATGAGAGCACATAACATCTGCTTTCTTAGTAAACTTCAATTATAGAATATAGTATTATTAACTGTAGCCACCATGCTGAACATTATATCTCTAGAACTTATTCACCCTGCATAATTGAAACTTGGTTCTCTGTGCTTCAGTTTGGATAGTTTCTATTGCTGTGTCTTTAAGTTCATTAAACTTCTGCATATCTAAACTTCTAATTTGTAGTACCTAAACCACTATAGGGAATTTTTCATTTCAGATACTGTATTTTTTAACTCTAAAAGGTCTTTCATTTGTTTATTTGTTTGTTTTGTTTTCTAGTTCTCTCATTCCTATGTTTATGCTTTCCTTTAGAACCTTGGAAATATTTAGATCTGGGCTTTTCAATTTTTCAATTATAGTTGGCACAATATTATATTACTTTCTGGTAGGTACAACATAGTGATTAGTCATTTATATACCTTACGAAGTGATTACCACAGTAAGTCTAGTACCCATTTGATACCATACATACATTTACGTTCAAATCAGCAAACACATTGACTTGCTATAATGTGGTACAGCTATACTGGATACTGGGATATGAGGCTCATTAAGTCCCTGTCCTCAGGAACTAAACCTGGCCTGGTAGCTCAGTTGGTTAGAATGTAGTCCTGATGCCGGAACCGGTTTGACTCAGTGGATAGAGCGTCGGCCTGCAGACTGGAAGGTCCCAGGTTCGATTCTGGATAAGGGCATGTACATTGGTTGGGGGAACATCCCCGGTGGGGGCTGTGCAGGAGGCAGCTGGTTGATGTCTCTCTCTCTCTCTCTCTCTCGATGTTTCTAGCTCTCTATCCCTCTCCCTTCCTCTCTGTAAAAAATCAGTAAAATATATTAAAAAGAAAAAAAAGAATGTAGTCCTGATAAACCAAGATTGAGGAATCAATCTCCTATCAGGGCACATACAAGAATCAACCAATGAGTGCATAAATAAGTGGAATAACAAATTAATATCCCCCACCCCCTCTATGCCTCCCTTCTTGTCTTTCTCAAATCAATCAATACTTTTTTTTTATTTCACTTTCTAGCATTGAGGAATAATCATTATTCACTTTTCGTGATTTTATAAACTTTGTTCATCATTAACTTTATTTCCAGGATCCTTTTTTACCTGGCTACTTGCTCATTTCTTTTTTGATTATTTCCCAGGACCTTTATTAACTTTTCTATTTTCTGGGTATAGAATTTTCTCTGAAGTAGGGATTTATAACTCATTTTGCCTATAGCAGCTTACTGAAATTTCTTCAGTGAATAACATATACCAGACGTTAGCAAACTTTGTTCAAGGGCCACAATCTTCTTTTGGCAATTTTATATTTATTTATTTACTTAACTTATTTTATTATTATTTTTTTAATCCTCACCTGAGGATATTTTTCCATTGATTTTTAGAGAGAGTGGAAGAGAGGGAAAGACAGAGAGAAATATCGATGTTAGAGAAACACATCTATTGGTTGTGTCCTGCACAAGTCCTGACCAGGGACTGGGCCAGAAAGGAATCTGTAACTGATGTATATGCCCTTGACCAGAATCAAACCTGGGACCCTTTGGTCCACAGACTGACACTATCCACTGAGCCAAACTGGCTAGGGGTATTTTTGTTTTTTATATGTTTGTATTGATTTTATATAGAGAAGAAAGAAGAAGGAGAAAGAGATAGAAACATTGATGAGAGAGACACATTGATTAGCTATCTCCTGCATGCCTCCGATTGGAAATTGAGCCCATAACCTGAAATTAAACCTGGGACCTCTTAGTCCATTGGATGATGCTCAATCCACTGAACCATACCAGCCTGGCTTATTTTTGTTTGTTTTTTAAATAACTTTTTAATGTGGAAAAAATTTTTAGTTTGTAGTCTTACACAAATAATTTTCCAACCCCAACCTATACTACTTCTTTTTTTAAATATATTTTTATTGATTTTTTACAGAGAGAAAAGTAGAGGGATAGAGAGTTTAAAACATCGATGAGAGAGAGACATCAATCAGCTGCCTCCTGCAAATCTCCCACCAGGGATGTGTCCGCAACTAAGGTACATGCCCTAGACTGAAATCGAACCTGGGACCTTTCAGTCCACAGGTCGACGCTCTATCCACTGAGCCAAACTGGTTTCAGCGACTACTTTTCTGAAGTATGTTCTGCAGTACTAACTTCACTAGATGGTCTTTGCAAAAAGGATTACATGGTCAAATAATTTGGCAAGTGTTTTTTGCTATGTCACTTTCATGGAGATTTATCACGCACGTGCACACATTACCTACTTGTATTCCATAGAACTAATTTTTAAAAATGCCTGCCTATATAGAATCTCTAGATTTACTTTGTGATAATAATTTATAATTAATCACAGACTTTTCAATTATTTTCATCTAAATTTACTACTTTGTCTACATCTACTTGAAAGTTTATTTTAAAATGTTCTATATACTGATGTGACTGGGTTGTAAGTTTGAAACTTAAACATAAAAAGAATCATAGTATTTGATTTCTTTGCAGTTTTTTCTATTATTTATGACACTGCTAACTTATTTTTTTCTCTTAACCAGGAAAAGTGGGTTGAAGTTGCCTCAATGAAAGTGCCTAGAGCAGGCATGTGTGTTGTGGCAGTCAATGGGCTTCTATATGTTTCTGGAGGTCGATCTTCCAGCCATGATTTCTTGGCACCAGGTACCTTGGACTCAGTTGAAGTTTATAACCCTCATTCAGATACATGGACTGAAATCGGTAATATGATCACCAGTCGTTGTGAAGGAGGTGTTGCTGTGCTATGAACTATAAACTGTCAGAGAGCACAAGAAACATTTTTAAAATATAGGTTCTGACTTTTTGCAAATCACACATGTATTTGGTCGTAGGACCCTTTGATTCTGTTAAATTTTCCATGTATTTGATAGATAAATAACTAAAGATTATTTTTCTAAGAATTTGAGTGAAAAGGGTATGGAATATGTCCTAAATTAATAAAGAGCTCACAAAAATTTGCCACGCTTACTTATAGAAATGCTATTTATGGTCAAGAATTGTTCTGTTAAGAGTCCTATTTGTAAAAATTATTTACTAGAAACTTCTTGGCAAATAGCCCCTTTCGCAGCTTCTCTAGTGTAATTCAAGCTGTAATATGACCCTGAGTAATATAAGAGTATCAGTGAAGCTCTCGCTGGTTTGGCTCAGTGGATAGATAGAGCATCAGCCTGCAGACTGAAGGGTCCAGGATCGGTTCTGGTCTGGGGGCACATGCCAGGGTTGCAAGCTTGATTCCCAGTGGGGGGCATGCAGGAGGCACCCAATCAGTGATTCTCTCTCCTCATTGATATTTCTATTTCTCTCTTACTCTCTCTTCCTCTCTGAAATCAATAAAGGTATATTTTTAAAAAAAAGAGTATCAGTAGAACAGCTTCAAGGTGTCAAAAATTCATAATGTAATCCCGAGCACAATTTTTCTTTTTTCTTTTTTTTTAATCCTCGTCTGCGGATATTTTTTCATTGATTTTTAGGATCAGAGAGGGAAAGATGGAGAGAAATATCAATGTGAGAGATATCGATTAGTTGTCTTCTGCATGAGTCTGACTGGGGCCTAGGCCAGGAAGGAGCTTATAACCAAGGTAGGTGCCCTTGACCAGAATCGAACCACAGGACCTTTTGGTCCACAGGCCAATGCTCTATCCACTGAGCCAAACTTTCTAGGGCCAGAGCACAAGTTTTTTTTTTGTTTTTTTTTAACCATAGTTTAATTTGCAGTGACTAGTCAATGAAATAACATCCTACTTTTAATTCATACTGGGAGTTTCACTAGCCCCAAACTTTAAAAAAAAAAAAATATTTGCACTGCCGAAACCGGTTTAGCTCAGTGGATAGAGCGTCGGCCTGTGGACTGAAAGGTCCTGGGTTCGATTCCGGTCAAAGGCATGTACCTTGGTTGCGGGCACATCTCCAGTAGGGGGTGTGCAAGAGGCAGCTGATTGATGATTCTCTCTCATCGATGTTTTCTAACTCTCTATCTCTCTCTCTCTTCCTCTCTGTGAAAAATCAATAAAATATATTTTAAAAATATATATTTGCATTGATTTCAGAGAGGACAGGAGAGGGAGAGAGAGTTAAAAATATCAGTGAGAGAGAATCATTGATTGCTTGCCTCCTGCATGCCCCACACTGAGGATAAGCCCGCATCCCAAGCATATGCCCTGAGCAGGAATCAAACCGTCACTTCCTGGTTCATAGGTTGACACTCAACCAGTGAGCCACACCTACCAGGATTAGCCTTATACTTTTTCTTGGCAGAGATATATGGGAGGGACACACATAGCTACTGTTAGAAATATCTAGCTACTTATATAGAGATATAAAAGCATTAAAAAAAAAAGGTTTTTGCTCACATTTTTTGTCTTGGTGCTGACAATGCAAATAATTAAGAGGAAGTTCTTAGTGATAGTCCTTTATTGCAATAGAATGATGGAATGGGTGATAGAGCCCAGTAGGTGGTATGCACCTACTGAATTTATCCCCTATTTTCTAAATAGGCACCAAAAATATCTGTTTGGCTTTTGGAAAATGGAATTTTATTAGATCATCTAGCTTTGTAAAACTTACTTGTCCTTGGGCAAGCCTAATTATGAATTTACTACAAAGCTACTACCTGGCTTGGAGAAGGTAGAATTTTAGATAACTGTGAAAATTCTTATAGACACTGACTCATAAGATGAAAGACTTCTGATCTGAAACTACTTCTCAAAACTTATTTTTCCCCTGAGAAGCATTTTAAAGAATTGTTTTCTGTCCAGTTCTGAGAGAAAGATTTGTGTACGTGATCATCACTTTTAAGTTATTTCTACTTAAGTAGTTGGAGCCATTTATATGAAAGATCTTGCATACAATTAGGTTTTTACCTAGCTGATTCCAGGATTGATTAGTATATTCCCCCTTTCCTTTACTAAAGTCCTTCAGTATATTGTTATAAGTATCAACAGCTTATTTAGAATGAAAATTTTATGTAAGTATTAAAGACTCAGGTATCATTAATATCCAAATACATTGAGTGGCCAGATTATTATGATCTCTGAACTCAGTATGAGTGTGTGAGTATGTGTGTGTGCATATGTGTATATGTATATTTATATACATATATATATATATCTTACCTAATAAAAGAGTAATATGCAAATTAACCATCACTCCATTATACCCACAAGCCACGCCCACCAGCCAATCAGAGTGAATATGCAAATAAACCCAACTAAGATGGCTACAGCCACAGAGAGCAGGAGGGAGGCTTGGATTTCCCAGGCAATGAAGGAAGCCAAGCTTTCCACCTCCCCTTGCAAGCCTAGGCCTCCATTCAATGCTACAAAGTTTCAATCATAGAAGGTAAACAAATCCATACAGAAATGGCGGCAGCCATGGAGCTGGAAAGAGTGGAAGGCTAGGGTTGCCCAAGGCAATGGAGGAAGTCAAGCTTTCCACACATCCTGGCCTGCCCAGGCCTCCACTTAAGGCTGCAAAGTTTCAATTATAGAAGATACAGAACCCCCAACTGAAATGACTGCTGCCATGGAGCAAGCAGGAGGCTTGGCTCCACTCCAGGCTACAAAGTTTCAATTGTAGAAGATAAATAACCCCCAGATACCAGGGCCTCTGCTTGAGTCACCAGGGGGCGTGGCCGGCCTACAAACCACCACAGGACCCTTACCTAGGCCACCTCACACCCCAAGGGAACCCCCACCCTGATCCTGGACATCCTTCAGGGCAAACCAGCTGGCTCCCACCCATGCACCAGGCCTTTATCCTATCTAATAAAATAGTAATATGCAGATTGACCATTACTCCAACACACAAGATTGCTGCCCTCATATGATCAAAGATCCTGCCCCCCTGTGGACACAAAATGGCCACCATAAGATGGCTAGCAGGGGAGGCCAGTTGGGAGGGACCAGGCTGGCAGAAGAGGGAAATTGGGATGACCAGGCATGCAGGGAAGGGCAGTTGGGGGGGGACTCAGGCCTGCATGGAGAGCAATTGGAGGGGAGCAGGCCTGCAGGGGATGGCAGTTAGGGGCAAACAGGCTGACAGGGGAGCAGTTAGGCATCAATCAGGCTGGCAGGGGAGTGTTTAGGGGGTGATCAGGTTGGCAGGCAGAAGCAGTTAGGGGCAATCAGGAAGGCAGGCAGGTAAGCAGTTGGGAGCTAGCAGTCCTGGATTGTGAGAGGGATGTCCGAATGCCAGACATCTCTCGACGGTTCCAGATTGGAGAGGGTGCAGGCTGGGCTGAAGGACACCCCTCCCCCATGCATGAATTTCGTGCACTGGGCCTCTAGTATATATGAGGCCAGGTACCTGAATTCATGCATGGTGCAGTCTAGCCAGCCTAGCCAGAGAAGGGGACATGGCAGTTGGCTGCCTGCCTGCTGGTCGAATTCCTGATGGAGGGGACAATTTGCATATTAGCCTATTATTATATAGGATATACAGAGTGGCCAGATTATTACGCGTTCAGAGATCATCATAATCTGGCTACTCACTATATTTGGACTGGCCTACAAGAATACTTTTCTTCATAACTTAACCATGTGCTTGTATTAAGAAAAGCTCATGGCGCTGGTCGGTATGACTCACTTGGGTGGGCATCATCCCATGCACTAAAAGGTTGCCAGTTTGATTCCCAGTCAGGGCATATGCCCAGGATTTGGCTCAATCCCCAGTGGGGTTGTGTAGAAGGCAATTAATCAATGTTTTGCTCTCACATTGACGTTTCTTTCTCTCTTTAAAAGTCAGTTTAAAAATCTTCCCAAAAAAAGAAAGAAAAGCTCATATAGTGCAGACAGAAAGCTCTGAAAGTCTGAAAGATCACAAATACCTAATTGGGATTGTAAAATGTAAAAGAATGAAATGTCAAGTTAATTTGCAGGTTATTTAAGCTCATGTGCCTTTAATATTTCTATTATAGTTACAGAGAATCTGCTTTCAAGAGAGATTTATAAATGCTCCCAATTTATTTTCATTATTGACTAGCAACCTAAAATGGCACTATGAAAGGGGGTCATTATGTACTAATGTGGCAGAAATGTAATGTCAAGACAATATTTGGCCTTAATAGGTCCAGGTGATCCCTGAAAAATAGATAATTGTAAATATGCTTATTGTTTCCTAGGTAATGACAGATTGTTTAAAATAAAAAAATAAAATAAAAAAAATAAAATATATATATACACACACACTAATAAAGCATTTTGATTTTTGCTCTTCCAAGGTTTTGCTTTTCCTTCTGAGAATGATCTTGTGAAGAGTATGAGTTTTCTCTTTATATATATATGTACGTGTGTGTGTGTGTGTGTATGTATATAATATGTATGTATGTATATTTATGTATATGTGTGTATATATATATATTTTATTAACTTCAGAGAGGAAGGGAAAGGGAGATAGAAACATCAGAAAATCATTCATTGATCCACTGCCTTTTGCACACCCCCTACTGAGAATGGAGCCTGCAACCTGGGCATGTGCCCTTAGCCAGAATCGAACCTAGACCCTTCAGTCCGCAGGCCAATGTTCTATCTACTGAGCCAAACCGGATAGAGCAAGAGTATGAGTTTTCTTTCCCTTATCATCAGGCTACAGTAAACTGTTCTCTACCTTAATCAAGCAAAGGGCTTTAATTGGTATACTTCACAGTGATCCAAACAAGTTCTAGTTCTGTGATACTATATTTTTGCTTAGGGCTGCTGTAACAAAGTATGAAGGAAGTTTTTTAAAATATGTTTTTATTGATTTTAGAGAAAGTGAGAGATAGAAACACGAATGAGAAACATTGATAAGTTGCCTCCTGCATGTCCCCTACTAGGGATCAAACCCGCATCTCGGTCATGTGCCCTGATCAGAAATTGACCTGGTGACTTCTTGGTGCATGGGTTGATGCTCAACCATTGAGCCACACCAGCAGGGCACAGACATTTTAACAACCGCCAAAACCGGTTTGGCTTGGTGGATAGTGTTGGCCTATGAACTGAAGGGTCCCAGGTTCGATTCCAATCAAGGGCATGTACCTTGGTTGCGGGCACGTCCCAGTGGGGGGTGTACAAGAGGCAGCTGATCGATGTTTCTCTCTCATTGATGTTTATAACTCTCTATCCCTCTCCCTTCCTCTCTGTGAAAAATCAATAAAATATATTTTTTTAAAAAGAAATTTAAACAACAGAATTTATTGTCTCATAGTTTCAGAGACTGGAAGTCTAGACTCAAGGTGTTGGTAGAGTTAACCTGTTTCCCCGAAAATAAGACAGTGTCTTATATTAATTTTTGCTCCCAAAGATAGGCTAGGTCTTATTTTCAGGGGATGTCTTATTTTTCCATGAAAAGAATGCAGTACACATTTATTGTTAAATGAAAATAAAGGAAATTTATTACCTGTATACGGTACAGTAGTACGGTAGTTGTCAACACAAACCAGACAAACTGTGTGTGAATCCTACAGTATCAAGAATTCATTCATTTATTCAATGACAATCATGTCATCATCTTCTGGAACATCATCATAACAATCCAATTCCTGAATTTCCTGATGAATTTCTTGTGACTCCATTTTTTTCAGAATCAGTGGACCAAATCTCTCATGTTTAGCCTAGGGGGGCCTTATTTTCGAGGGGATGCCTTATACCGTATTTTCCGGTATATAAGACGACCCCCTAATTTTACAGTTAAAACATAGGTTTAGGCCTATATTCGCTGTATAAGACTACCCCCCACTTCCAAAGCAACACCAGTTCTTTTTTTAATAGACCGCCTCTCTGACTCTGGCCAATCCAAGCAGGCTTTTTATGCATGCAAATTATACATGTTCAGTACACAAAGCTACACTGTGTACTAGTAAAAAGCCTGCTCAGATTGGCCAGAGTCAGAGAGGTGGTCTATTAAAAAAAGAACTGGTGTTGCCTCGGAAGCGGGGGGTCTTATACAGCGAATATAGGTCTAAACTTATGTTTTAACTGTAAAATTAGGCGGTCATCTTATATGCCGGAAGGAAACCTGTAAGTAGGTCTTATTTTCGGAGGATGTCTTATTTTCTGGGAAACACGGTAGTTCTTTCTGAAGGCTTAGAGGGAGGGATCTGCTTCAGGCTTCACTCCTGGACATACAGATAGCCATCTTCACATTCACATGGCATTCTTCCTGTATACATGTTGTCTCTAAATTTTCCCATTATAAGAATTCCAGTAATATTACATTATAGCCTATTCTTATGACCTCATTTTAATTATTACCTCTGCAAAGACCTGACCTCCAAATATGGTCACATTCTTAAATATTGGGGATTAAGACTTCAACACACAATTCAATACATAACAGGTGTGTAAGAAAATAAACAGGCTACCAATCTAGATTCTTATCTCTTCACTGTAAGAATCACTAGCACGGAAATATAATTTACTTATGAAATTAGATATTTGAATACTTATACAAAGATAACATACCAGGTGAAATCATTTCCTTATTTATATTCTTACTCCCAAATGACTTTAGAGCCACAGATCCTCTCAGCTCATATAACTAGGTTATACCAGGTAAAATGAGCTTGGGAATGCAATCCTCCGGGCAGCTGCAATGAAAACTCTACCCTGGAACACTTATTATTTTCAGACATTCATGGGCTGAAGTTTTCTTTTTGAAATGGGAGAGTATGTGTGTTTTTCAATGATCTTAGGCTCTAGCAAAAGGGATTTTTTTCATTTTTGCTTTTAATTTTATTTTTTTTTCTTTTTTTAAGTTGTTTTTTTAATGTACTTTTATTGATTTTATTTTTATTTATTTATTATTTTTTTATATTTTATTGATTTTTTACAGAGAGGAAGGAAGAGGGAGAGTTAGAAACATCGATGAGAATCATCGATCAGCCGCCTCCCGCACACCCCCTACTGGGGATGTGCCCTCAACCAAGGTACATGCCCCTGACCAGAATGGAACCTGGGACCTTTCAGTTCCCAGACCAATTCTCTACCACTGAGCCAAACCGGTTTCGGCTAATTTTACATTTTTTTTTTTCGAAATAAAACTTTGAAATGAGTGGACCACTATATAATTCCTGACTAAATGAGAACTCTAACCTAATATAACATAAAAAGGATTTGTTAGGGATTTTCAAGCTGTTGATCATATAATTCCTATGAAATAGATTTTTTAGAAGTGAAAAAATATGACTAAATTACCATCAGTGGGAAACAAAGAGCTAAACAGTAGTAGAAGAAAAAGGATATGTAAAACAACCTTACAAGGCTGTAGCCAACATGCTAACATCATCTACCAAGTATTTTTGTGGGTTTTTTAAAAATATATTTTATTGATTTTTTTTTATAGAGAGGAATGGAGAGGGATAGCTAGAAACATTGATGAGAGAGAAACATTGACCAACTACCTCCTGCACACGCTGGGGATGTGCCCGCAACCAATGCACATGCCCTTGACCGGAATCGAACCCAGGACCTTTCAGTCTGCAGGCCGATGCTCTATCCTCTGAGCCAAATCAGTTTCGGCCCGAGTTTTATATTTATTCTACTTGACCAGGTCTCTGTGGTCCTTTCTCTGGATAAATATTTTTAAGTAATAAAGTGATTACAAATGATAAAAAGGCCACCAAAGTGGCTACTATCCTCAGGGCTTTGAACCATTTGGGATAATCTGGCAAAAGAAAAAATTCATTATGTAATGCTATCCCCAAACCTATTATTACTGTGACTATAGCTTCACTGAGCCTTTCGGAAAAAAGGAAGGCAAACCATGAAAACAGGACAGGAGCTGTACTACTAGCTAAATTGAGGTAATCTGGTTTGGCTGGACTACCTTCTGGCAGAACAAAACCCCATCTAATCCCTCCCAAGAAAGATAGGTAACTGGCTCCATAAGCCATCTGAGTAAAAGCTAATGCTGGGATGTAAGTCTTTGTCATCACCATGATCAATGGTGGAGCAAGGAAGGGGATTAGTCCGGCCAGAGAGATGTATAATGCTGGCTTTGGGCTGTCAGGCAGGAATGTGATAGTTTTCGGTGGCCTGGCTGGAAGCACTTCTTCCTTCTGCTTCTTCTTAAAGCTGCATGGGGAAGTATGATAGTATTGTGTCTTGCTCATACACACTGGAAATGATGAGAAAGTCCTAGGCCTTAAAAACAAAGGTGAAAAGTTCTGTTGGAGACATGCCTTGAGAGAAAGTGTTTCTATTCTGCTGGCCCCTAGTCCAACTGTGAAAGAGTGCTTCAGCATCTACATGGAGAAAATAAACCAGAAGACAAAAGCAGATTTTTAAAAATGTGTATCACCAAATGTCTTAATTCCAAACCACAACAATATAAAAACAAACTAACTGCTTTACAGAAAGGTTGGACTATAGAGTGATGTTATTGCTGGCTAAGACAATTAACAGCTATATCAATACAAAAGAAACTACTGAATAGAAGCCAGTTATGTTTTGGCTTACCACTAATCTTATCCCCTGAGGAAATATCTCAAAGAACAGGTAAAGACTGGATATTTAGTATATGGCATTCTAAACTGCCTCTTGTAATTACAAAAAAGCAGTGTACCTTCCAATATAGCTTTATGGACACTGCATACTTTTCACAGATCCATGCCTTTCTACATGTCTCTGCCTAACATTCTGGCTTACTACTTTTCTACTGTTTTTACAAATTCGGCTTAAAACTTTCTCTAATCTGCCCTGGCTGGTTTGACTTAGTGGACAAAGCCTTGGCCTGCTGACAGAAGGGTCCCAGGTTTGATTCTGGCCAAAGGCACAAAGCCTGAGTTGTGGGCTCAGTCCCCAGTGTGGGGCTTCAGGAGGTAGCCAATCAATGATTCTCATCATTAATGTTTCTGTTTCTTTCTTCCACTCCCTTCCTCTCTGAAATCAATAATATATTTTATTTTTTATTTTTTAAAGGTAGTGTTACTTTTTTTCATATATATATATTTTATTGATTTTTTACAGAGAGGAAGAGAGAGGGACAGAGTTAGAAACATTGATGAGAGATAATCATTGATCAACTGCCTCTTGCACACCCACTACGGGGAATGTGCCCTCAACCAAGGTACATGCCCTTGACCTGACTCAAACCCAGACCTTTCAGTCCATAGGCCGATACTCTATCCACTGAGTCAAACTGGTTTCAGCAATAATATATTTAAAAAAAACACTTCCTCCAATCCTATAAGTAAGTACCCTATGTGTACTTTCATTTATAATACAGTGAATTAAAATTGTGAGTAGACTTGAGAACCAGGAGCATATTTTTTTCTTTGCCTTAAAAAAAATCTTTGTGTCTTTCATGTTATTTGACCAAATAAACTTCTCTGCTGATTCTATGCTTTAGTAAGCAGATTCCAGACTTCAACTAGTAAATAAATTACAAGTAACTCGAGAAGTGTTAGATGAAAGTTATTTAAGAATCTTGGTGATCCCTCAAAATGCTAAAAATGATTCCATCTTGGGACCTCTTTTTTTCTTTAGTCTAGAATGTTCTCTCAGTTACCTGCATGGCCCATTCCCTAATTTCTGACCACCCCATTTATATAAAGTGCAATCGTAAGTCTACTTTTTATTTGTTTTTTAGTAATTATTAAGGTATTACATATGGGTCCTTATCCCCTCATTGCCCCTTCCACCCCCCAGTTCATACCCTCACCCCCCTAGTGTCTGTGTCTATTGGCTATGCTTATATGCATGCATACAAGGCCTTTGGCTGATCTTCCCCCTCTCCCACACCCTCCCCTGCATAAGTCTATTTTTGACAATCCCCATTCCCTTCACATACACATACCCAAATATCAGGAAAGGATCTTTTTGTCTTCCTTTCACTGCTATTGCCCAGCCAAACCATGCCTGGCAAGTAGTGCTCAAATATTTGCTAAATAAACCAACCTTTGAAGATGCATGAGAAAACTTCTGGATGAAGTGAAGCATACTGAAACCTAAGGAAGTCTTGCTCAGGAAGATGCCAGGCAGTTCTGATGAATGTATTTTTATAGCTAAGTGGACACGCTGAATCAGAAGCATGTTGCTGTGTGCAAAATAAGATGTCAAAAAAACACACAAATAGATGTCACTTAATTTTATTCATTTTATACATAATTTTCTTAATCTAACTTGAGAATTGCCTTGCTGATATGGCTCAGTGATTAAATTTTGACCTATGAACCAGGAGGTCACAGTTCCATTCTTGATCAGGGTACATGCCCTGGTTACAGGCTCAATTCCCAGTGGGGGGACATGCAGGAGGAAGCCAATTGATGAGTCTCATCATTGATGTTTCTCTCTCTTCATCTCTGAATCAATAAAAATATATTTTTTAAAATAATAAAGTAACTTGAGCCGAAACCAGTTTGGCTCAGTGGATAGAGCATCAGCCTGAGGACTGAAAAGTCCCACATTCAATTCCGGTCAAGGGCATGTACCTTATTTGCGGGCACATCGCCAGTAGGGGGTGTGCAAGAGGCAGCTGATCAATATTTCTCTCTCATCAATGTTTCTAGCTTTCTATCCCTCTCTCTCTTCCTCTCTGTAAAAACTCAATAAAATATATATATTTTTAAAGTAACTTGAAAATTTCTTATATATAACAGTTTTCTTTGAAAACATTAACATTTTCTAAAAATCAGTAACATGTTAATAGATCCTTTCCTTCTCTGAAAAATATTAATGCACAGAGATCTGGATTTTACAGATAACCATTTCCCAGCTGTGTGTCCTTAAATTGCTTCCTTGAAGTGGCAATTTCTTATTTTTAAAAATGAAGGTCATAGCATCCCTATTCTTTCCACCCCCCCCTTATTTATTTTGGGACTTAGTAGTTTATAGCTCAAAATAATGATGATAATACAATTCAGCTGTGAACCAGACAATGTGTTTGATATACAAAAACTAATTACAAAAAACCTCATCAACTTGGTGCTGAGAGACTGTATAACTTGGTAAGCTAGGGCACAAACTTTGGAGTCAAACAATCTATGTTAGAATTCTTGCTCCACCACTTACTAGCTGAGACTTCAGGCAAGCATTTAATCTTGCTAAGATGCAATTCATTCACCTATGAAGATAAGGATTATAATAACTACACAGGATCGCTGTAAAATTTAAATCACTTAATACATGTAAAGAGCTAAGAACTGTCCCTAACACAAAGAAAGCACTCAAAAAATATTTGCTGCCCTAGCCGATTTTGCTCAGTGGATAGAGCATCGGCATGCAGACTGAAGGGTCCAGGGTTCAATTCTGGTCAAGGGCACATACCTGGGTTGCAAGCTTGGTCTGGTCCGAGTGAATGCTGGAGGCAACCAGCTGATGTGTCTCTTTCACATTGATGTTTCCCTCTTTCTCTCCCCCTCCCTTCTACTCTCTCTAAAAATCAATGGAAAAATATCTATTGTGAGGATTAACAAAAAAAAATTTTTTTGCCCTAGCTGGTTTGGTTCAGTGGCTAGAGCATCAGCCTTTGGACTGAATGAATGGTCTCAAGTTCCATTCCCATCAAGGGCACGTGGTTGGGTTTCGGGCTCAATTCTCAGTAGGGGGCATGCAAGAGGCAGCAAATCAATGATTCTCTCTCTCTTTTTTTTTAAAAATATATTTTATTGATTTTGTACAGAGAGGAAGGGAGAGAGAGAGTGAGTTAGGAACATCGATGAGAGAGAGTCACCGATCAGCTGCCTCTTGCACCTCCTACTGGGGATATGCCCGCAACCAAGGTACATGCCCTTGACCGGAATCGAACCCGGGACCCTTCAGTCCCCAAGCCGACGCTCTATCCATTGAGTCAAACCGGTCTCGGCCAATGGTTCTCTCTCATCATTGGCCGAGACCGGTTTGACTATCTATCTCTCCCTCTCCTCTCCTCTCTAAAATCAATAAAAATACATTTAAAAAATAAAAATATATATTTTAACATTTTTAATTCTTATTTCCTCATTATTTTTATTGCTTTTATTATTGATTTATTATTATTGACATAAGTAGCCAGTAAAGTGACTGAGAATATGAATCCATATGCCTTATGCGAGTCCCATTCTTAGTTCTTTTCCCCCGTTGTTTTTTTGTTTTATTTTCTTGTGTGTGTGTCCCACTCTTACAAGGAGAATGAGGAGTCTAACCCCCCCCCCAAAAAAAATTCCCAAACCCACAGTTGCCTCTCCATTAACAAGTTTAATGAACTACTTATTTACTTACTTTGTGTGGGGGTTTTTAGTTATTGATTTTTAGAGAGAGAGGAAGGGAGAGAGACATTGATTTGTTGTTCCACTTATTCATTCTTGGTTTATTCTTCTATGTGCCCTGGCTTGGGATGGAACCCGCAACATTGGCTATGGGAAAGACGCTCTAACCAAGGCAATGAACTAATTTCTTTATCACAAATTGAAAATTCCTATATTCTGGTCAATGTCATCATTCTATACAATAGGAAGAAAATAGTGAGTTAAGTTATCCTGAGCCTCTGAGTATATCTTAAAATGACACCCACCACATACACCTCGTAACTCCCAGACACATTTATTTGCAGGACTCACACAATCACTTTATATATATATATATATATATATATATATATATATATATATATATATATATATATATTTGATTTTTTACAGAGAGAGGGATAGAAAGTTAGAAACATCGATGAGAGAGAAACATTGATCAGTTGCCTCTTGCACACCCCCCACTGGGGATGCGCCCACAACCAAGGTACATGCCCTTGACCAGAACCGAACCCGGGACCTTTCAGTCCACAGGCTGACGCTCCATCCACTAAGCCAAACTGGTTTCGGCCCACACAATCACTTTTATGCAAAATCACCTGCTTAAGAGCCTTCTGGACCACCCCACTTAAAATCTCAGCGCTCTCTTCACCATTGGAACGAGATCTCTATGCACTGTGATATATGTGCTTTCCAACTCGCGAATTAAAGCGAATAAATGATAGCCCAAAACCCGAAGACGGCCAATCGGTTAGGGAATGAAGAACAAACCCAAGGGTTAATTCGCTTCAATTCAAGCGAAATCCTTAGTATCTCCACTGCCCCAAAAGAAAAAATTGTAAACTGCAAGCCTCAGAGCCTCCGTCTGAGAAAAGGGGAAGGAGTCTGAACTCGCGGATCCTCGGTAAACTTGCCCCGACAATGTCCGTAGCTCTGGTTTACTGCTAACCTCTATTGCCCCCTTTTCCCCCCATTTCCAACCTGCATTTCTAGCAGCAGCCCTACTACTCACTTGCCAGTGTCGCGCGGAGAGAAGGAAAGCTGAGCTGCAAGAACAGCCAAGCGCTCCTGAAAAGGCACTTCCGGCAAGTGGGGTTAGATAGTCCTCCACTTCCTGTCAACTGGAATAAAATGAGTCCGGGTGGGATCATGAGCAGCGCTAAGTGGTTCCTACTTTCGGTTTTCCTTTCCGTCTTGGGTCATTGTCTTAATTTAGTGAAATTCGGCTTTTTGACGTCTGTAGGGTACCTGAAGGATCCTTGCCCCTCTATTCCAGGTTTCATAGGCAGTTCGGAAGGTAGAGTCTTCAGTCTTGCAACAACTGAAACAGTCTTAGAGTGATGGTGGAAGAAAGTAGGAGAGATTTGGGAGTCTAGACTAAGTGTGAGTTGGCCAAATTGCTTATCTCTGGAACTCATCTTTTAGTGTGCGTTAACAACAGGGTTTCTCAGATTTACGGGGCATATCTCACTGCGATTTAGGATCCTAATGAGCAAAAGTAAACATGGAACATAGTGTTCCTTGCCTATCCAATATCCAGTTCTCTGTCTTCCATATTAACAGAATTCCAGTTTTGTGTGGGGCACCGAAGTGTGAAAAAAAGAAAAAACAAAAACAAAACCTTTTTACTTCCATTCTCTTTGCTAGGGCCTGGAAACTTCATTAAAAAATAAGGGGAGCCCGACTGGTGTGGCTCAAAGGTAGAGTGTGGGACCATAAATCAGGTCACTGCTGTGGGTTCAATCCCGTGGTCGGGCGTGCAGGAGGCAACTGATACATTTTCCTCTCTCATGGATGCCTCTCTCTCAAGTCAATAAAAATATTTTTGAAAGAAAGGAAAGAAGGGGAAGACATGGGCGAGGAGGGGAAAAGATTAACCAAAGAACATATATGTATAACCCAAGGACATACAGTGTGAGGAAGGCCCAGGTGGGGCTGGGACTAGGTGTAGGGGACAGAAAGGGGAAATGGACATCTGTGATACTGTCAAATAATATTTTTTAAGAGCATAAGGGGAAGGATTTTCATGCTCATGAAAGGTGTGGTAAGAGCTTTGGGGGTGATTCAAAAAGATCATTCATCCTGTCATCCTTGGCTTTCATTTTTGTCGGTTATGCGACCTTGGACGAGTTCGTATCCTCTGGGCCTCCATTTTACAATCTGATAAAAAAAAAAAAAAAAAAAAAAAGGAACAGCATCAAGCAATTTGAGTGGTCTTCTTAAGACAAGTAAGAGGACAGCTCAAGAGGTCCACGCTGGCCGAACCAGTTTGGCTCATCGGTAGAGTGTCGGTCTGCGGACTGAAAGGTCCCAGGTTTGATTCCAGCCAAGGGCATGTACCTTGGTTGCGGGCACTTCCCCGGTAGGGGGTGTGCAAGAGGCAGCTGGCCGATGTTTCTCTGTCATCAATGTTTCTAGCTCTCTATCTCCCTTCCTCTCTGTAAGAAAATCAATAAAATATATTTAAAAAAAAAAAAAAAAAAAAAAAAAGAGGCCCATGCTGGCCAGCTTCTCCATCCCTCTGGGTTCTGGATAGCCCAGCTAAATCATGTGGTTTAGCTTCCAGGGCTGGATGGGCTCACAGCAAATTCTTCGAAATTGTAAGCGCTTCTAGTCGCGAGAGGCTTTCGCTTTTATTTCCTCCTTTGTGTGTCTAAGCAGCGCCGCCCCTTCCCGTCGTGCAATACCCAGGAGACTTTAGAGAGCGGCTTCTCCGCGGGTCAGAGGCCAGAGATCCACACGGTGCTCGTGAAGGGCGTGACGCCAGCGTCAGGCGGAACTACCGCTCCCGACGGGTAGCGCGTCGCGCGCCGGAGCGCTGACCCCGGAGCGCGGTCGGTCGCGTGGCCCGCTGGGGGCTGGAGTCTTAACGACCCGCGCTCGTGAAGGAGCGGAAGGTGGGGAAGGGTCGGCAAACGCATGCTCCTACGAAACCGCTTTGCCAGTACTCGTAGAGGTAATTTGGGGACGGGGTGTGGGAGGGTAAGGAACGAAGGAGCAGGGAAAAGTGGGTACACATATACACACCCCGCCCCCCCTCGCCCCCACATTCATTGACACGCGTCCAGGCCCCTAGGGTTGGGCCGGGGGGGGGTGTGAAGGGAGCACCGAAGTTTGCCGGCCCCGCCTCTCATGGAGGCGGAGGGAGCTGGGGGTGGGGCAGGGAAATAACCGCCGCTCACGTGCCCCGAACGTTTGCGGCGGGCGGCGGGGTCACCGGAACAGGGCGCGTGCGCGCGCTGCGCATCGTGCGCGCGCGCCCCAGTGGGCGTTGGGAGTGGGCGGGTGTGAGAGGCGGTGTTGAATGGGGGCGGGCTGGGCTGCTCATCGCTCCTCCCCCTCCACCCGCCTTGCCCCTCCTCGGCAGTGTGGGCCGGGCAGCCATTTTGGGGAGAGCTTTGTTATGGTTGTGGGCTCCTCCAGTTCTGCGGGATCAGGAAGCCGAGGACGCGTCCTCAGACACCGCGTCTGGTGCCAAGCTGCAGCCCGGCCGCTGCCCGGTGAGTAGGAGTCCCCAACTGCGGGGCCGTGAGGGGAGGGGGGGGTGTCTAGGTTTTCCCCGGCGCGGGACTCCACCCGGTGCCTGGCCCGCCGTCTGTGGAAACAAGTTGGAGGAGGCTCTCACACAGGTGGTTGGGTGGGTGTAGGTGGGCCCGGGGAAGGGGAGCGGAGCGGAGCCCCGCGGGTCGTGTGGTCGGCACCGGACACCTCTCTCCCCCCGCGCGCGGGCTCCGGACGCGAGCGTCGCGGCGGCGCTGCCGGAGGGGCGCCCGCTTCAACTTTGGTCTGCGGGTCGGAACGCTCACCTGCGGCTCTCTGGCTCCTCTCCAGGCG